AGCTATGCTTCTCTCAAACAGATGTAAACTGACTTTTAATTTAACCCCTGTCAGAAGAGAAGAAGAACTGGTACAGGTAACCAGTTCAAAAAGTGGAAAGGGTAATTTTCAGGTCTTGGAGTAGGATGTATTTATGCGATCTTCCCTGAGATGGTGAAGGGCTTATATTTGTAACATCAGGGTTTGCAGGTGACATATTTGCATATTTATACTCAGAAAGTGATGCTGAATGCAATCCTGGACTCACCAATCTCCAGTATCAGTTTTTGCAAATGATTTTAAATATCTCAGGACTTTATCTGTAGCATTAGGATTTTGCAGAAAACAACCTGTGTCTTACTGGTGAAACAACATACTGGGCATGGTAGGCACCATCCAGCTTTGGCTAACACGTCCCTTGAAGTTTGATCTTCTGCTTCAGGTAAGTCTTTTATTGCTCTGAATTCTTGTATTCATTTGGGGTGCATGACAGAGAAAATGTGGGCATGTACAGGGCCTAAGGTTTTGCACTATTCAGGCAATGCTACCTTGTTTTTAGGGCTTATTTTGCTTTTGACTATAGGCTTTATTTTTTAGTATATATGCATCCAAAGAAGAAATACCACATCCCATGCCTCCAAACTACTGTTCCATATATAGAATGAACTTTCAGCAAGACAAATAAATGAACTCCATATGAAATGCATATAGGCAGTATAACAAAACCCTGGACCTGAATGACAGTATATGATATGGCCAGCTCCAGAAAACTTCCAGGCATTTGAAGTAATTTTTCAGTAAATCTACATTTCTATTTCAAAGGGTTTTTTAATTGGCTTTTGGGTTTCTTTTTGGTGTTTGTTTGGTTGGTTTTTTTTCAATTAGGAATAATTCAAATGAGCCTTTAGGTAGGTGCAACACTGCTTAGTAGAAATTGGCAGAAATTGGGCACGACTCCTCATTAAAGCTGTATGCAAGAATTTGAGTAGACCTTTCCCTTGGACTTGATTCATAGAAGTTTCCATTCCCTGAATTTCACTTTGATTTCTACATTTAAGTACATGCAGGAAACTGAAAGCCAAACTGTTAGAAGAATGATATTTATGTGGTTTCATAAAAAATTACAGGGTTTGCATGAGTTCGTTGTGAAAACAAAATTGCAGCTGCATTTTAGAATCTGTTCTGAATTTTAAATGTGCAACAAAATATCAGTCTTGGTGAATTTCTTATGTCTTACAGTGCTATTATAAATAGCATGCTACTCTGCTACTGATTAAACACGTATCTTGAATAAACAAAGCTCTTTAGAACTAAGTCACCTTTTCAGCATGTCTGAACATTGCAGGCCACATAATTTCATAACAAGATACTCAACTCATCACAAGAAAGGAATTGACATTCTTGAGTGCGTCCAAAAAAGAACAATGAAGCTGGTGAAGGGTCAGGAGCACAAGTGTTGTGAGGAGCAGCAGTGGGATCTGGGATTGTTTAACCTGGAGGATAGGAGACTAAGGGGAGATGATTTAGCACTCTCTACAACTGTGAATGGGTGGTTGGTTTCTACTCCCAAGTAACAAGGGGTAGAAGAACAAGAAACAACCTCAAGTTGAATCAGGGGATGTTTAGATTGGATATTAGGAAACATTTCTTCACTGAGATGGCTGTCAGGCATTGGAACAGGCCTGAAGTGAACAGGCCAGTGGACTGGTTGAGTCACCATCCCTGAATGTATTTAAAAGATTTGTAGATGGGTGTAAAGCCCCAGGTCAAGCCCTACTCTGCCCTGACAGTTTACTTACATTTAAGACTCCCAGGAGTTCCCACTCAAAATTCTTGCAGAGCCTTTGGTTCTTTAATACTTTAAATTCACATAAAGAGAAAATGCTACATGTGTTTCCCAAGAGACTTCTTTAAATTTAGTGAGAAAATAGGTGTTTTGGCAAAAGGTTCACAGGAGTAACATACAGCCAAATAAAAGTTTGCACGAAGCACCCAGCAAACAGCAACTCACAACTTAGTGAAATACAAGCCATTGGTTTTAAGTTACCCACAAGAGATTACGGAAAGAGTAAAGAAAGGAAAGAGATTAGGAGAAGAAAGAAGTAGTAAAGAAAGAGGTTAGAAAAAGAGACTTGTATAGGTACCACCAAGAGGTCACACGTTAGAAGGTCCCAGGAGAGATGGCAGGCAACAATGGAGGCCCTGTGTGCCTCTATTTATGTGCCCAGGACGCTGTGGCCACCCCTCCCAGGCAGGGAGACCAGTTCATGGACCACTCAGTGCCCTCCTGGCCAGAGTGAGGGGTGACTCGGCCAGCCAGAGGCTCCAGGGGGTGCGGTGTGGGCGGGCTGCCAGGCAGGCTTGTGTGAGGCACACAGCCCTGTGCCATGTGCCTCCTGAGCTGCCCTGCTGGCTGCACAACATGTACCTTCCGACTCTGGAGGCCTGGCCCCCTCCCCCGACACACAGAAGCTGGCTGATTCCACCCAATTAATAAATAACCCAGGGAGATACAAACCGGTCTCTCACAGTTAGGGACATGGTTTAGCGGTGGTTTGGCAATGTTAAAAGTAGTGGTTGAACTTGGTGATCTGAAAGGTCTTATCCAATCTAAATAATTCTATGATTCTGTTCTTTGATAAACTTTTTTCTCTTGCCATCATTCTCCATGCAGCATTCCAATCAGCTGCAGTGGACGTCCATGATGAGAACACTGGCAGAATATATGGAGTCCAAATATAATTCATTTATTCCAGCTTTGATGATACAGAAGTCTCTGTTGAGACTTCTGTACTGATAACAAGAGTATCCAAAACTTCTTTTTAAAAAAATCTGTATTTTCCAAAGTCGAACAAGAAGTGCCCAAAATGGGGCATCCAGAAATGGGCATTTGTAGTGTTAGTGCAACATCTCCAGTTTAAAATTGGACTAAGAGAAAGAAAAAAAAACACAAACCATAACAAAAACCCCCACGCACATGGTTATGAAAGTGTCCTTGTTCTGTCCATCATTGTAAGTCACGTAAACATAATTGCAGCAGTTTGATTATTATAAAAAAAGCAGTCACGATTCATCTATTCAATATTAAAAACCTTGCTGTTTACCTTAAAAAGTGTGCATTGAGAATTTCACGTACAAGAATTCCAGGAACTACTTGTAAATACTTCTCCGATGATGTTAGTCTTCTTGTAGAAAAGGAATGGAGTGAGGTGAAAAACATATAACAGTGGTGAGGAAATGTATGGAAAAAATCCTTTTGTGCAGTTCTCAGTTGTGTGTTGACACTGCTGGTGAAGCAAAGGACCTGGGGGCTTTGTGTTGGGGGTGGGGGTGGAATAATGGTGTTATTTATAAAAGGTACACTAGACTTCCAGCAGATTTATATGTTTAGTTTCCTGAGTTTTCAAGGGTAATATGAGCAGACTCCCTGTTGGGAGAGGACTCTGAGAACCCATTTTAGACCCTTTCTCATCCCTGCTATGTTCAGTCCAGCTAGTGCATTTTCCATCATAACCCCTTCTTACTGAGCCTTTTCAGTCTTTCTGGCTGTTTCCTTACCTGACAAGTCCAAAGGTACCCGACCAAACTACTGCTGGTCAGGGCAAGGTGAAATCTGTTTCTCCCATTGTTCTTTCATTTCTTGTTTGAAATATCATGCTTCAGCCTCATTTCCTAAAGCCCATCTCCATCTAGTTTATCTCTTTTCTATTTTGGCCTTCAGATGTCTTCAGCATTTATGTTCCAGTTTCTATTATGCCAGGCCAGACTTCTTCTATCCTCCTATTTGACTTCTCAACATCTGTTACTCTTTCTTTATTTCCCACCTCAGTTCCTTCCCTTTCACAAACTCTGTATCACTCTCCATCTGTTCATCCAACTTTTGCTCCAGGATGGTTTTACTTTCTACTTATGTGTAGTTCTCTTAAATGGTCTGTGGTCTACTCTTACTCCCTTTTCTGTCCACAGTCCTGGCCTTTGGCAGAGTTCACCTTTCCTCTGCTAGCTTCTGACTTCAGTCACTTTTCAGACTCAGCATCCAGGTCAGGCTCACATGTGAGAATGCCTACTCCATTTAGAAAGTTCTTGATCCAGTTTGTAATATGTGCTTCAGAAAATAAACGAAACAGACAAGGGGAAAAAAAAAAAAAGACAGTTGGATAGGGGCACAGCCTGCACACTAAATTAATTCTGAACAGGGTTAGGGTTATTTGCCACTTCTATCTTAATACTTCAAAAGCAGAGTTCCCATCTTTCATGAAGTGTGTGAATCTTTGCCTTTCTGTGCAAAATTCTTCCTCCAGTGAGCCCACTTTCCTTCTAATGCAGAATAGGTTAGGTTTTAAAATTTCCCCAAAAAGATAGTGATGTAAAGACTGTCACTCAGTCCTGTTAAAAATATTCCTGCTTTACAGTTTTAGGGCAGAGTCAGACCTCTTTATTCTTGGTGTATTATGTTGTAAAAGAGAGCACTTTTCTGTAAATAAAATATTCCTGCTTTACAGTTTTAGGGCAGAGTCAGACCTCTTTATTCTTGGTGTATTATGTTGTAAAAGAGAGCACTTTTCTGTAAATACAAGGCTTTAGTAAAATGTGCATTCTCCCTGGAAGATTTCAGCATTTTCCGATTGATGCCTTTTCTGGCACACATTATGTATCAAAACAGATTATGTTTCCCTCCTGTCTGCAACAATGCATGCTCAGGAGGAGAGCTACTGACCTACCGATAAGCGTGAACAGCTCACGGCAAGTGGTGAAGCGGAACTCCAGGAGCTGCAGGGAGAGCACTCCTTTCAGCTGTGCCATGCTGCCTGTCTCCTCCTCCTACTCCTCCTCTCCCACTCTCTTTTTCCTTCTCCTCTGTCTTCAGCTGTTACGCTTTCCCCAGACCCCTTGGCTTTGTTGTGCTGCGTGTCGGAATAGCAGGAGGGGGATTGGCCGATCGCCGGCTCAGAAGGCGCTTCCCAGCAGCTCACCCCATCCCACCCACGCACGCCCGGGCCGGGAAACGCGCGCGGGGCTGATGGAGGCGGAGAAGCAGGGCTGAAGGTTTGCAGCAGGGCTGAAGGAAGGTTTGCAGCAGCGCTGGGGGTGACAGCAGGCAGCCGAGCGCTCTGCAGCTTCGCCTGTCCCACCCCAGGTCCGGCACGGGCCCGACAATGGAGTACTGCCGCTGGACAGCCGCTGGCACCCTGCTTCTAGCCTCCCTTATCCTGGTAAATCCTTTTTCTTTCCTGCAAATATGTATTGCCATAGCTGATATTGTATCTTTGTGTATATATGCGGGTGGATATGTTTTTAATATGTTTTTAATCTCTTAGATTTTGTTTTAAACTAGTCGTGTAAATCTTACTCTCTCTAAAATACTGCAGGCTTGGAGCCTCGGTATTGTGGGTTGCTGCAGATTGAACTGAGAAGTTGATGTTGGCATCACGTTTCTAAACTTGGAGAGCAATGACCTGTGAATGGTGATTTAACTGCTTGGGATTTAGAGAGGAGCTGTTTCTCCCCTCTTTGAATAAAACTGTATCACGCTGTAATGTTCCTGGAATTTTCTTTCAAAAAAAAAGGTGGGGGGGGATAGTATTCTTCAGTTTGCACATGCAGAAAAAACAGGTACAGCATGTACTGAGCCTTTTCCTGAAGCCAGTTTAAATGAGCTGTAAGTAATTACAGATGTAAATTCGTGCTGTAAGTCATTACACAGTCAAGTTTATACCAAGTTTTGAAAGATATGTTATGTGATACCTGGTATACTTCGGGCCAGTAAACTTGATCATTACTCTATTATTTTCTCGTATTCTTATCCCAATTATCCTGATGGGGTGCTATGCTGTTTGATTGACAGTATGTGTTCCATTTTGACTCATTTTTATGAGTGGTATGTTTGCAATCAGGAAATCTGCAGTAAGGATATTAATAGGCACACAGTCTTGATACCATAGTCATCTTGGCATACATATGTTATCTTTTTCTGAAAATTTGCCTGAATGTAGTTGTTCAAGTGGCAAAGAACTGTTAAAAGAAATGTATGAACTTTATAGCAGCTTGCATCTTATGGATCTGTATAAAACAGTTCATGGTAATCATTGTAAACTAATCTTAACATGAGTTTTAGTAGCCACATGGGAACCTAAATAGTAGTATCATCCTATTCAAAATGCTTACTAAATATTACTGTATTATTGAAAAAAAAAAGAAGCTTTTGTTATAGAATCACTAAATATTAATTGATTACTAGAAATAATAATGCTGTCTGGACTGATCTAAAAGTCTTATTTTGTTTAAAGGTCTATTTTCCATTTAAAATTCACACAAAACCGCATTAAGTCAGCGTAGATTTTCTTTTGTTTATGAAAATGGGACATTTATAACTTGATGACTGTAATATATTATGAGCCAATCTTACAGGACTGATTTAGGGAAGATCAACACGAGATACGACTGAACAAGACTGTGTAAAGACTGTAGGATTTGGCCACATGTTAAGTTCATACTCATAATATTTGTACATCACTCTGCTGCTTGTGAATTAAGTTCTCAGTCCCTGATTCATGAAAATAAATAGTATATTCTGCTGCCAACTATTATGCATTATATTCCACGCTATACTAGTTTGTATTTGTATGACTTACCCTGCCTCAAGAGATTTGCCACCACCTCCCACCAAATCTCTTTGTGCCTTAAGAATAGTGATGTGAAGCAAGCTTAACTTTCTTTTTTAAATCAGACCATTCTTTTTCTCTTCCATAGTCAGGAAAATCTCTCCCTTGCTTTCAGCAGGAGATTAGGTAAACATGCAAGTATTTGACTTACAGCTTGGCTAGAGATAAAGATAAATTGTTGGCTACCTTGGTGTACGTGTTCCTACTGTAGTTTATTGCAGCATGAGTTCACAGAAGGCATGGTAGAAAGCTCACAGATGTTTTTGAGAAAAAAAAAAAGCATTGAATCAGGCCTGTGACCTGGATATTAGCATCCTAGTTACTAGTTTTAGTTAAGTAGATGGAGCAAGTTTAAAATGTATGACACTCAGCATTTGGATTAATGTGTATCACCTTGAATCTCAATAAAAGCCCCATCTTGCTCACAATAACCAACACCAGCAGCTTCTAGCACTCTAGTTACATCAGCAGAGGTTCACAATTGTTATAAGGCTGTGCAAATAAATACTTACAGGATTGGTCTTGTAATAATTTATCACATGTTCCTAAATTTTCATTAAGACACTGTAGAGCAAAGTAGCACCTAAAGTCTTTGTTCAGCATCCTTGTCTGAGAAAGGAGGTTGCACAGCCCGGGGACATGCACAGCCTATGCACATGTGATGCTAAGGTAATCTTAGCAGCCCTCAAGCTGTGACAAATCCATGGACAGCGACATCAATAACCTCTCCTGTTTCTCTCATTAGCAGGTGCCTGGAGTGGTATAGTAGGGAGTGTAGCTCACTACTCCATCTGGGTTCTTAACCTTTTTCAGAAGAAATTTTATTCATTTTCAGTAGAGTGGTACTTGAGTAAGGTCAGTGGTGGTCAATAGTTTATTTTATTAACTGCACTAGAACTTGTGCCATACTCAGAGATCCAGTTTCCCTGGCATAAATGTGGATTAGGTACTTCCACGGCATTTTGAGAATTTGAACCATAACACTATGATGCCTATCTTGAAAAAGTAGTATCAGACTAAAAGTAGCTTTCAAGTTTCTCGTGAAGTTTCTCTCTTTCCAGAGGAAGACCATGTATGTGGAGAATTTTGCTTATTGTTCTGTGAACTTTTGCATGCTAAGGAAATATTAGCATACCAGTTTCAAGAGCAACAAAAGAAAGCAGGCATTCTGTTCCAAAGATTTTCCTCTCTATTAGTTTATAAATAAAAGCTTAACACAAGGAAATCACAGTTGTCCAACTCAAAGGAAATGTGACTAAAACCATAACCAGCCATGTGTTCAACCAAACTTGAAGTTACATCATGTGATGTCAGAAGGGCATTTAATCACAGTTGCATTTGGTATTTGCATTTGTTATTTGCATCTTTTCAGCAGCATTTTTTTTAGCCCTCTTTGTTGCTGTTATGATACTTACAGAAGTAAAAGTAGTAACTGTAATAAAGTGCTTATGTTTTTCTGCAGGATTTCTTTCTTTTGCTATGCTAATTTATATGTGAAAAATAGTCAAGCACAATAGTCCATTTCTTCCAGGCTCTTTGACATTACACTTCCTGGTTATCAATCTGGATCTGTCTTGAATGACTACAAGCACAATTAGCCAGTGAAAGGAATATAATATTTCTTATTTACATCTTACTGTACAAAGCTTGACAGTTTTTCCTTTCATTTGTAGATAGGTCTACCTACTGTTGTAGTCTGCTCCTCATTTCTACAACTGTAGCTGTATTGAGAGGTTTCTTTCCAGTATAAGGTCTAAAGTACACACATATATGTTCATGCATAATTATGTATGTGTACAGACTGGCATTTAACACATCAGGTGGGTAAGGATGCACTGAAATACAAAGCTGAGATTTATTCATGCTACAGAGTGCATAATTTCTCACCATTGTGGTTTGTGACCAGTGCTGCTGTATTCCAAATATCTCACGTCTATAAACCAAAACAATTTCTTATGTGAAGGACTAGATGCTAGTAAGTATGTATGATCAGAATTTCTTACTGTATTACTTTAGATTTCTGTGTTTGGACCTATTTTATTGACCTCTTCCTTCAGATTTTTTTTTTTTTTAAAGTATATAATTTGTTTACTCTTTTTCTGTCAAGTGCAGAGACTTGTGTGAGCTGAACTAAGGTTGTGCATTGGAATTTTTTTTTTAGATTTCAGTGAATGGTTTTGGGTTTTAGTGAATAGTTTTTAAGTCAATACTTAATGTAGGCTGTTGAGCTACTGGTCTGCTTCACCAGTGTGAGTAAGTTTAACATGTTCTTTTAATGACTTTCATAGATTCATAGGCCTGCGAAAGAGTAATTAAAAAAGGTATGAAATTGAACACTGTGGAGAGACTGAGGATTGGGATATGGTCATCTCTATTCAAGGATCTGTCAGCTGGACAAACTTCAATGCTCAGAAGGTTCACAAGTTAGTGTCAAGCCTGAGTGGGCCACATGACCAGAAAAATAATTCTTAAGGAGAGGACTGGCAATCTCTGCATGACTGAATTTTCACTGAAGCAAATAAAAACTGAATCCCATATAACTGTGTTGTTGGCCATCCAAATATAACCTCATGGTTTCTGTTACAAAGTTGTATTGTCAAATCTGCAGGCAGAAGCATTGTTTTTATTGCTTTTTTAGCTATTTTCTTCATCTTGTAGTAAGACTCAGAACTGTATGGGAAACAATTATATGGGAGGAAAATGGGAAATTGCAGTTTGTGTTCTCTTGTATGAGGAGGAAAGAATAGTAAGATCGTCCCAGCCCAAACCAAGGACTTCTCATCTAACAGACAACAACTAATCAAAGATTGTCAGGAAATGTTTAATGTCACCAGAATATGGTACTGTGGTATGAGACATGACTAATTCTAACTCGTGAGTTAGCCTGCTGTTGGGTTCTCCATCTTCTCATGTCAGCTTATGAACAGTAGGCTTGTCTTAACAGGTGGCTGTCCAGCTTTGCATATGCAAGGTCTTATAACATTTTCTGACTCTTACATATATGTTCAGGCAAAATGGGGCGAGTAAGTAATAGCTATACATAGAGTGGGAAAATCTTCTCTAGGTCCTTGACCCTGTCCAGTGTTGAACACAGACCAATAATACTTAAAGCTTAATACAGTCTGATCATTTAGATATCCTTCTATCTCAGGGAATGTAAAACATTTCATCATCAGTCTGAGTTTTCCTATCATGCAGACTAAGACTCACTGTACACGTGCAGACCTGTTTAGAGCTAATTAGCTCAAATTTTTCCTTTGGCAAAAGGGACAAAGAAGAGGGTCCTCTACTGAGGATTATAGATATTAGGAAGATTTAAAGGTTGGTATTATGGTTTTAAAGGTTTCATTCATCTTTCAAGATTTTATGCAGTATCTTATCTTTCTCTTTCGAAGGTCCTCTCACAGTTGGATAGTGTCGTGAGCATTTTAAAGATTTTGTCCTTTTTGGAGATGGCATACACCGTTCTCAGACTAACTCATAATAAAAATGTAATTGTTCATAAGCACAATATTAGCTGAGATTGAAGAGCAAGGTTCTCATCTACATAA